ATAATAAAATAAAAAAGTTGTAACAAATAAATTTTGTAATAATCGATAAAATATAAATAAAATTAATAAAGTTGTAACAAGTAAATTTTGTAAAATAATAATTATAATAAAGTTTTGCAAATAAAAAGTTGTAATTGAAATAAAATCATTGTAAATAAAATTGTAAAAATAATAAAACTATAATAAATAAAAGTATATTGAAATGTTGTAAAAAAAATTATTAAATTATAATAAACGATAAATTATAATAAATAATAATTTTAAATGAATAATAATATTATAACAAAAATAAAGTTAAAATAAATAAAATCATAAAAATAGAATTATAACAAATAAACAAAAATCGTAATAAATAAAATTGTATCAAAAAGTTGTATCAAAAAGTTAAATCGAAAAATTTTAAAATTATAACGAATGATAATAAATAACAAATAATAATATTATAATGAAAAATAAAGTCGAAATAAATAAAATCATAAAAATAAAGTTATAACAAATAAATAAAAATTATAATAAATAAAATTGCATTAAAAAGTTGTATCAAAAAGTTAAATCAAAAAAAATTATAAAATTGTACCGAATAATAAATATTAATAAAAACTAAAGTTGTAATAAAAATAAAGTTGAAGTAAATAAAATTGTTAAAATAGAGTTATAATGAATAAACAAAAGTAGTCTTGAATTATATCAAGAAGATGTAATAAGTAAAATTATAGTAAATAAATAATTTTTAGTGAATAATAATAATGAAAAATTAATAAATAATTTAAATTTTAGTTGTTTTTGCAAAATTATAAAAAAATATAAAGTTATATTGTAGTGCAGATGCTGTAATCATAGACCTATTAGCAGAGTTTGCAGTCCATCAGCGGGTATTAAACTTACAGCTGCTAGCAACAGTCGCAAATCATTATCACTCTACTACAATTGGTAATTATAAAATTTTTTGATTGTACTGTTTGTAAATATTCAAATTACTAAATTTAGACAAAAATTAAGGTTTGTGTAATAAGGGGTAATATAAATAAAGATATAAATTGTATAATAATAGTGTTCGCAAAAGAAAAATTAAAGCAAAAAGAAAAGAAGTTAAAATAATGTAAGTATTAAAAGATAATATATATTTATAATAATAATGATAATATTAATAGTAATAAGAAGAAGAAGAATAATAATAGAATAATAATAATAATAAAATAAAGAAAATGCCACAAAGATATCGAACAACTAGACATTAACGAAGAAATGATGAGGCTGCCTTGTATGAAGCAATTGGTATGCTTCAAAATAAAATTTATAGGTAATAAGGGTTTGAGTTTCATAGCTTAGCAGTTAAGCTCCCAAACTCTCACAGACTAGGTCAACGGTTCGAGTCGGGCTAGAGGCAAATTTTAATAAAATTTGCTTCTGTAACTTACAGGGGCCATTAAATCGAATGCGAAGCCCTGTAGAAAGTCCAAGTGCAGTATGAAACCAGAATAAAAAGTTCTCAGAAGAAGACCAAGTTATGGAGTGTAGGCACTATGTGTAATGTGATACTACAAAATATTAGGTTATATGAAGATCGTGTGAATTAGTCCTTCAGTTGGGGTGACTTGGAGGCTGTACCAACATCCCTGCATCCAACTTGTGAGGTACTTGCTTGGGAGACTGATATGATAGTAGCTAAAACTGGAGTAGTAAGAAAAGTGATGATACATGATTATGGGCTGTAGTAAAGGATCATACTTTAACTAGAATTGAAAGCATATCTGGCCTTGCAGAACAACTAATTTAGGAAAGTTACTTGGTATAGAGGGTATAACCTGTCTCTGTATAACTAAAAGAACCAAATCGGGCTTTGGTCACACCTATATAGAAGTCTATGATGAAAAGAGTTAAGAATTTACCAATATGAATATCACACCAACCAAGGTTGAGATACCCCAAGCTAGAAGTTATACAATATATACAACAAAGGTCTATAGCTAGAAGAGATATGTCTTAAAACAAGTTTTTAATGAATACTATAACAGAGAGTATTTAAGAGACAGATAAGTTATACAGCATATGAAAATACCAAAAAAGGAACATTAAGACCTGCAGAGATGGACATGAACCAGTAAAAGGTGGATGTAGAGTGGTTGTAGATATGGGTTTCGTTTCTGCTGCAGGCATACCAATCTGAAAGGCCTTTAAGGACCGATAACCCGAGTGAACCAAATTGGGAATTACTAAGGTTTGATTGTGAGTCATGGGAGGAATATAGTTGAGTAACTAGAATTAGTTAGTTGTGAAGCACAAAATCTAGGTAAAGATGTAAGTAGGGTTATGATCATGGATAAAGTAGTCTGAGTCTTGAGTTGGAAATTAGTTTAATAAGTAAGATTGTATGTGAAATATATAATAACTTAAAGAATTAATAAAGACGAGAGGCATGACCTCGCTTTAAGTAATAAAAAAAAAAAAAAAAAGAAATTTAGAGGTAATAATAATAATAATATAATAATAATAATAATAATAAATAGTAATAAGAATAATTATATAGGTTGCAGTGTGAAGTTAGAACATTGAAGGCACAGATAGTGGAGTTGAGAGGAAATGCAGTCTTTATGGTAAGAGAAGTAGTTCAGTTGATGAGAGAAGTAAATGATAGAGATTTGCAGATTTTGGAGATTAATCAGACAAATCAACAGAGGAATAGAGATTATGTATTGTTGGTAAGAAAGAGGAATGATTTAAGGGCTGAGGTGGAGACTTTGCGTGATTTGATCGATAATATTCCAGTTCCAATATAATAATTTTTTTTTTGTAAATAAAATTTTAATTGTTTGTCTAAATAAATTGTGTATATCCAAATTGATTTGTTATCTTTTCTCTTGTTTTCATTATTTTGGTTATTATCTAAGAATTGTAATTAGTTTTCAATTTGCTATTTCGAATAGTTAAATTTTTTTAACAATATCTTGAAAGTTATTTGACCCAATTGATTGTTATTATATAAGAATAAGTATAGTGATATGAAGATATATACTTTAAATAGTTCAAATTTTTGCACAGTACTTATTAAACCCACCAGTACTAGGCTATATTCATATCTTACAGATTTTTTTAAAACCAACATTATATACAGTACTTATTAGACCTGCCAGTACTAGGCTATATTCATGTTTTACAAATTTTTCTAAAACCAATATCATGCACAGTACTTATTAGACCTGCCAGTACTAGGCTATATTCATGTCTTACAGATTTTTCCAAAACTAATATCATACACAGTACTTATTAGATCCATCAGTACTAGGCTATATTCATGTCTTACAGCTTTTTTTAAAACCAATATCATGCATAGTACTTATTAAACCTGCCAGTACTAGGCTATATTCATGTCTTACAAATTTTTCCAAAACCAAACTTTCTAATCATGCATAGTATTTATTAGACCTGTCAGTACTAGGCTATATTCATGTCTTACAGATTTTTTTAAAACTAATATCATGTACAGTACTTATTAGACCCGCCAGTACTAGGCTATATTCGTGTCTTACAGATTTTTCCAAAATCAATACTTTCAATTCTATAGTATTTCATTGCTAATTACAAAACTTATTGCTATCTCAAATATTGTTGTTCTCAAAGTTTTATTTTTCAAACTTTGTTGTTATTTTCCAATAAAATATCTACTTAGTTATTTTTGTTCAAACTAACAAAATACACAGTGCCTCTCAATATAACAGATGCTATGGTTCTAATCCTTTTCTCCATTATATCAAAAGCTCCATAATATTAAAATCTCATAATATACTAAATATTATAATAAATCATATCAAGAAAATATTTTTTTAAGCATTGCAAATACAAACCTATAACAAATTAATTTAATCGAGTATTATCGGTTTGCTAATACTGGTGATACTAGTAGTAAGTATTTTTATTGAGGCATATCAAACAATAGTAACTTTAAATTAATTACATGCATAGTCATATCGAGTAAATCAATGAGCTTTAATGATTCTAGTCTTCCTTCCCCATAATTGAATAAATAAAGGCAATCAAATATAACGTTGTAATGTAAATTCAAAGATGTAATTAGAATTAAAAGTATTAGAAGCATGCAAAGAAGGTGTTGTTAGGACCAAAACTAAAGTACAAATAATTAGAATGCGAAAATAAGCCTATTCATATTGCAGTCATTGGTGAACTAGAATTGAAAATCTATATTAACCAGCACGATATTTAAATAGCATAGAGAAAATAAAATTATATTATTATTTTTTCACCAATACATGCTTTAGCATCTTTTTTTCGTGAAATTGAGCTTCATATATCAGACTAATAACTATAAGTATCTTTAGTTGACCTGTATACCAATTGATATTAGCTGTTTGGTATCAAATAGTGATGCTAGATTGGTCTCAATAATTGCTGTAACTAGTTGCAGCAATGATTTTACTGCATCACTAGTAGTAAGCTATTTCTATTTCTTTAATCAGAACTTCTAGAGATGTTATAGTCCAGTCTAGTTCAGTCTAGTTTATAAAAGACTGTTTATATATCTTAACTATTGATTTGTGAACTAGACTGAACCAGACTAAGGACTATAATTGGGCCATTATCAGAGTCATATAATCAGGTAATAATGGCAATATCCAACATATTATGTGTATTAGATTTATCAGTTCTGAACTGCTTTTAATCAAATTTGAACTTAGACTGTATTTAACTAAGACTATTGCTAAAGCAGTTATTTTAGTTATTTTGGGACTATAATATCACTGAGAGTTACTTAAAGGTTGCTAGTATAAGTAGGATCAATTCACAGTATTGAAACATATTAAAGAATTTATTTGTGATACCAGATATATTTTCTCTACTGTGAAAATAGAGATTCTTATAGTAAGGAATTAAATATATATTTTATTTCATGTAAAATTGTTATATTTAATAAACTTATAATTTCGTTTAGATTTATAATAGTAATATTGTATTACTAGATATTTGAAAAAAATAAATAAAAATTTCTAAACCATAAGGTTAATAAATTCTTCTAATATAGCTTGTCTTTTACTTTCATTACACAAATAGATGATATACTTTTTAAGGCTATACAATTCTTTTATTAAAGATGAAGTAATTTCTAGATCATTTTGCTGAATATACTTTATCAAGTTATCAAGTCCTATAATTGCATCTCCAATTTTAACTATTTCTTCCTGTTCTTTTTCTGATTCACTCTCATCTTGTCCGTTTACTATATTAATAATTTTATTTATAGTTAAGTCTTCTTCAATATTCATATAATTATCAACCTTGATATATTTTTGTACATCTAAGGGATCATCAATTGGTAAATGTTCAATAAGATTTATAATCTTTGCTTCCAATTCGGCTTCTTCAGACACAAAGGCTTCCAATTCTGTTTCTTCATACATAGAGGTAAAATTATTATTCAAAATTTCCATAGATGGAAGTATAACAGCTCTACTCCAGCTACGAATAATTGTACTTGAAGTAACATTTTTCCATGCTTGAGCTACAAAATTAATTGCATCATATAATATAACATCAGAAGGAACCGAATTGTCATTAGTAATTGTATCATAAGCTTCAAGACAGTTTTGACAAAAAATACGTCGATATTGTGCCTATAAGAAAAAATAAATAAATACAATGTTTTATTAAATAGTAGAATTATAAATTATATATTTAAAAATTACTTTGAGGCTATAACCAATTCCTTGATCGATAGGTTAAAGACAAGACATTGTGTTTAGTGATAAAAAATGTATATGAATATTTGATAAGTCTTGAATATTCTCTGAATTGTGTGACGAAGCATTATTAAGAAGTAAAATAATATTTCGTTGAGCAAGTCTCATTTGACTATTGAATTGTTCTAAAAAATGGTTAAATATACTTCTTTGCATCTATCCTTTTTTATTCCAGTAATACCAGACTAGAAGAGTGGATTTCTCAATACCACAAAGAACACGTGGAGTTTTGTATTTGTGAATAAAGAGAAGCAGTAATTTTCATCACCAGTAGAATTACAAGTTATCATAACTGTAACCCTATCTTTTAATTTTTTTTTTCCTAAAACTAGACCATGAGCAAGTGTTTTGCTTGGCTCAAGTTGCCAAAAAAGTGCTGTTTCATCACAGTGAATATGTCTCTAGGTTCATAATTTCAAAGAACATCTTGAAGTTCTAAACAAAATTTTAAAACATCTTCCAAAGGTACATTCCCAGCTTCTCCTCGACGTTGATAAGAAGAAATAACATTTCTTTTCTTAAAATTAGTGAGCCATCCATCGGATGCATTAAATTCAGTAATTTTAAATTGATTAGCAAATTCCTTAGCCTTGGCTTGAAGAAGATGACCAGTAAAGGTAGGTTCGTTTTTAATTGCTTGTTCAACCCAAATAGACATTGCCTCTTCAAGTTCAGGATAATCAGGCTTTCTTTGACATTTAACTTGAATTAAAGTAGAAGCATCATTGAGACCTAACTAGTACTCAGAGCATTTGAGAATATCAGATACTAATTGTTTGCTTATTCCATACTTTTTAGCTAAATTTACTCTTTTTAAATTAAGATTATTATATTTTTTTTCACATAATTCTTTTTTTTGCACACCAGTTAAAAATACCCTCTTTTTTATAGTATTAGAGTTTTCTTGATGTTTTTTAATTTTATTCATAATAAATACAATCTATTAATTTGCGATTTGAACTATACTTCTTTATATTTATTTTTTACAGGTTATTTATACAGATTTTTTAAAGAAAATATAATTATTATCCACATGCTAGTCTCTATAAGTGAGTTCCAGATTCAAATGTTTCTTATTAAAATTTGTTTTTTTTATATGTATTCTTGTATAATATCAAGCTCCAATTGCTCTTGTATTTTTTTTTTATCGGTAAGTTTATTCTTTTTGCGTACAATTCAAGCACTTGTTATTATGATATTGTTCTGAAACCTTATATTATTCTGAAATCTTATATCATTTTGAAACCTTATCACTATTACTAGTCAGTTAAGTCCATTATTAAATTAGAGTAGATAACAATTTATTTAATCTATTACACATATTTAATAGTAAGATTACCAATGACTCAATATGAAAATAAATGTCTAATTGACCTTTTTTTGAAAAATGAAAAAAGCGATTAAATTTTTATTTTCTTATTTTTTATATGTATAAAATTTGACTCACTTATATGATATTTAACTCACTGATGATTACATTTTTTATGCATTCGAGAACCAATAAGCATTTTTTTTTCAATATACCGTTAACTCTAGCACTAGGCACTCCTCAACTGAATCATGACATTTATTTACCATTGTTATTATTATTCATTCTAAAATCTTATCATTAAATTTTTTCATATTTATCTTAATTTAGTTACATGCAACATTTCAAATTATTATAGTGTTTATGCATATTTTACTTCTTGATTTAGATCATTATCCTAGCGATTAAACTAAACACACTAAATTTATTTATTTATTTTTATTCTATAAACATGCGTAAGATCACTTGTGCTATTGAGATGCTTAACATTCTGTTTTATTGTTTATTCCTAATACTAATATATATGATTATGATATAAATTATCTAATAAAATCTTGTTTATTATTAAAGTTAAATTATAATAACCGGTTTATCTCTAACTTTAGTACAAATCCAGCTACATACATCGGTCAAGTACTCATAAAAGATAAATTAAATTGCCTAAGTAACCTATTTATATATTTTAAAGTTTTTGAGAATATAACAAAAGTTTATCATAATAATACTATTGATGGTTCTAAAAAAATATCTTTGTTTATTATATAAAATAAAACTTTATTTAGCCAGTTATTAGACTATCAAATTATACTATTGAATAAATGTGATTGGAAGCATGTTCATTTAAATTATTTTATTACATTAATAAAAGATCTAGGCTTGATCTGTTCTTATAATGTATTTAAGTTGTTAACTATAAATCAAAGTTTGGTTGATATATTGTAATAAATTTTACTTTTGTCTTATTTTTTTGGCATATATTCAATAAATACAATCACTTTTGTCCTATTCTTTTGGCATATATTCATAAGTTTGTAAGCTTTATATAAAATTTTAAAATGATAAAATCTTTTAATAATTCTGTATTATGATTGGTTAGTTATCACAGGAAGTCACAGGCAGTCACAGGTAGATCTACAAAAATTTACCAATAATATGAATGTCCGTTTAATCAAATGATTTTTTACTATATTAGCATATAGTAGTTTTAAATTAAAATTCGTTATAAATTATATCGCGAGATTACTATTAATCTCTGGTATATCCAAATAATTTTACTAGTAATAATTTGGTTCTATTAAAATTCTCTGCACTAAGCAATATCTGTTATATCGGTAGTCTGTTATATCAAGAGGCACTGTGTAATAAGAGCATTAATTTGAATAATTCCAGTTAACTAAAAATACTAAACTAAAAAAAAAAGACTAAGTTAATATATAAAATGTTTTTTTTTTTAAAAAAAAAATTAAAGATACTAGATAATAATAATAATAAAATGCTAAATAATAATAATAATAATAAAAATAAAAACAAAAGTGTAGTGACTTAGTGTTGTCACACCCCAAGCGGCAAGACAAGAGTTCGAATCCCATTAGTGACAAAATTTGAATTTGCAGAAATGCATTACGGTAAAACTGTATAACATATCGATCAGGTCAGCATCTATAACCTTGGTCTCACCAACTCGTATTGAGAGATTGTGAAATGTAGTGTAATGCATAGATTACACGAAACCCTAGTGAAGCAGCCAAATAAATCCAAGAGATTAGAGAAGCCCACTTGAGAAGTCCTGAGTAGAGAGGTAGTACAGATCTTCAATAGCACTATGTAAAGGATTATCATCTGAAGAACCAAACACTGAAAGCAAACTGAATGAGGACTGAATGTTTGGCAAGCACTATACCAACAAGGCTGTCGGATTAACTGAAGGAAAAAGGATTCATTTGAAATACCAGGGAATGCCCACTGGTCTCTCTCAGGCCATCTAGATTGGAAGTTTAAGGTGTCGATGGTTGGCATCAAAGTACTGTTGATAGTTTATAAAGTGGGTGTTGGAGTTTAGGTGAACATTGCAAGAGCACAGAGTAGATAATGATAGCAGAGGTAAAAAGCCGCAAGTACTTGGCCATGGCCTAGGTATAAGTTACTGAAAATCTAGGTGATATATGTGTAGGACATAGACCACTCTGGTAAGTTTACCACAAGGATAAAGGATCCCCTAAATAGTAGTATGTGTCCGCTTTAAAGTTCTAAGAGGCTTATACAGCAGTTCCTCTTTGAGGAGAATATCCTAACGGCACTAAGTTGATCAGAGAGTTTAATTAGATAATTCAAGTAATAGTGGGTTACAGATACAGCATCTAGTGTAGTTCATATAGCTTACATATGCAAGACTGCTTAAATAGACAACCAAAAATTGTATATATGGCTAGAATGTATCCTCGTTAATGTAACAAAGTCAGGGGTATCCTATGTGGTTACCCTGGCATTCAATCCAAAGTTCAATAAAATGTGCCAGACCCCAAAGTGGTCACCTTAATATTAAAAAAAAAAATAAAAAAATAAAAACTAAAATAAATAGATTTTTTTAATAAAGACACTTTTTTATCAATACAAATCCTTTAATTTTCATATATTGACATAGTTTAACTTTTTTTTGAACTTGCTTAAGAAGCCTATCTTGAGCTTTTTTAGTTTTAGCCTCATAGAGTTTATAAAATCTCTATTTAAGTTTTAAAGAGGAAGAGGTAGATTAGAATATAAAAAATGTTGCATATCATCTAATATAAACAAAACTTTTTTTTAATCTAAAATGATTAATTCTAAGTTTTAATAAATATTGGATTTGATTCAATCTAATATCAATTAAATCCTTGATATGATAAGTAGAAGGTTCTTTGTTTCTTCTAGGAATTGGATAGAGGCTCTCTTCATCTGAAGAATCAAGATTCCATTTGTCAGATAGTTCATCATCAAGATTATATTCTGAAGCTTAACCAGAGGCAATTACAGTTTCTTCAACTATTTTCCATAAAACTTGGTTATCATCTATATCCTCAGTATTGTCAGATAGTATAAATATAGATTGTAGTACTTCTTGTTCAGTTTGTAGATTTTTTTCTATAAATAAAACATCAGATATAGGTTTTTGATCAATTTGATCAAAATCTAAATCAGTTCAAGGGTTATAGTAAATATTTAGCTTCTGTTTACTATCAACCATTATAAATATTATATATATATGTGGTAACTTAAAAAAAATGAGATATTAGATATGTGTATAGTAAAATAGAAATAATATATAGAATAATGAAAAAAATTTTTTTGATCAAATTTGGAGATTTAAGTGAAAAAATGCTGTCACTGCAATTTACGATCTCTAATGGTGAATTTGTCTTAAGATAAGCTTAGTACAAATTTGCAGAATATTTCAACGGATATACACTCAAAATTTCAGCTTGATTAGTTCAAAATTGATCGACTTTACTTAGTACTGATCGTTTCTTGTTTACAGATCTTCAAAGAAGAAAAATGCTGTCAATACGTTTTACGGGTTTCAGTAGTGTTTTCGTCTTATGATATGCTTAGAACAAAAGTTGCGGAATATTCCAACGGATGTATTTTGAAAATTTCAGCTCAAACAGAGCAAAATTGACTGACTTCATTTAGTACTAATCGTTCTACAACTTGGATGTTTTCTTTATAAAATTTTCTAGGTAAAGTCTATATTTCACAGTCACCACCAATTTGTTATCCTATATCTACTTCTTTAAAGATAATAGGTAACTAGAGCGACTGTAGCTATTGAATACTTTGTGTAACCCAAACTAGTTACTGTAT